CCACCTGGGCAAACCGACCGTTGACACGTCACACAGCAATATGTGTTGGAAAGTGTGTTCGGTTGCTCAAAGCTCGAGTTTTATAACGTTTTCCAACTGTACGTTGGTTGAGAATGAAATGGATAGAATTAATTCACAACTCTACTATTGAATCCATGTATCATCAGCGCTCGGATTCGCCTCCATGGTGCCGTCAAGTACGACTGCAGTCTGTGAGGTAAACTAAACGCTATTGGCTATTTGAAAAGGGGGAGGAGCCATTCAATATGACCCGCCTTAGCTTCCTGTTTCAGTGGAAATTACGCCAACGCATCAAACAAAGCTCCGCGTACCAAGGCATTTCAGAGGTAGGGCTGTCACTTTTGTGAAAAAATCCTGCTCGATTTTTGAGACATAAGTGTTCATTGAATCGATTGTAAAATATATTTTCCATGTCTAAAGACGTTTCCATTTTCAACACCAAATATAGGCAAATCCACGGACACCTAACAGGTAATAGGACGAACGTAAAGAGGGATTTTACAATCGATTCAATGAACACTTATGTCGACTTACTTAAATCGAACAGGATTTTTTCACAAAAGTGACAGCCCTACTACCGCCAAATGCGGGTAAAAATGAACTTTGGCGGGTAACGCTGTCAAATCACTAGCCAATCTGGCGTGTTTCTATGTTTACTCACTTTGCTGGGGAAGTTCGTGTAAGCCAAATCTGCGCGGAATTAGCGCAAATACGCAACTCGTGAGTCCTCATGATATATTAAATGTAGCGTATTGCGCAGAATCTGCGCATTTCTGGCTTACTTGAACACACACGTCACTACGCAACAAATAACGGCTTGTTCACCTGCATTGAAGTAATAGCGAATATTAAAAAGCATTTGGTTAACAGAACATACATTGTTATTTTCCAACATCCTACATGTTCAATGTACTGTTGTATTGATCTGTCCACCTAAAACACATTTTTGTTTAAAAACAAAAAAAAGGCCGTTAAAATCGATTCCCTATTTTCGTTTTCGAAACTTGTGTTGGTTGGTCCGATCGATTGTGCAATCAATTTTCGAACGTACTGTAAAGTGACAGCCCTATTCAGAGGGCATTTAAGTCAAGCATCACGCACTGTAAAAAATGATTCTTCAAAGTTGCAAATAAAACACAGGCAAGAATCTACCATTGTAGCAGCAAGCATGCAAATGTAAAATCTGGTTTATACTGTTATACTGTTACTTTCTTAAGCCTCTGAACTGTTTTGCTGCTGCAGTGTGGCTATTTCTCCTGGTAAATAAGGTTAGTCTGCTTGCATATTGAGAGCATGCATTGCATCTGCATGCGTACGTGTTTGTACAAGCATGACCATTACTCTAGCCGGCTCACGCTTTGCTTTATTTTTCCCCCGTCCCCAGTGAGCGGGTCGTGCACGTTTCTCCATGGAGATGCACTTCAGACGTATACTCTTCACACGGCATGCCACATAAATCTTTTATTACTCCCACCACTGAGATTCCTCCCCACAACTCAGAGAAATCTCTTAATTATGGCACTTAACATAGCACACGATATCTGCAGCCACGCCGCAGAGCGCATAATTCACTGCGCCGAGAGCCCAGACCTCAGAAACACTGAGCGTGAAGATGGAACGAAGACTGAATGTTTTTATATCCGTGATGCTGTGTGAGGAAAATCACAAAGAAGGGCTCTTGAGAAAAAGCCCTTAAGCAAAGCGTTTCTGTGCCACAAACAGACAAAATAAAGTGAATGACAATTTCAAGAGCTTCTGAAGTGTTAACATTCAACCTGGCATGGATGTATACGGGTATTTTTCGAAACAGAATATCAAGCTCAGCATCTTACAATGACTTATCTGAACTCAATAAGAGCTGTTATATCATCGCATTCTGCTGAAACTCACACTCAAAAATTCAGGATAGCTCAGCTCAAATTCACTTTTAGACGAATGAAAATCTAAACACGTGCCTTGTTTTCTTTTAGCGTTTCTCTTTAGGGCACAATCCTTCAGTGGACTACTGCAGACTTCCATATTCAGTAATTATTTATACACACACACACACACACACACACAAATGCAGAAGCTGTAAAGAAACAAGTATTGTTATCAGAATCAGACACTTGATTCTGACAACATTACACGTTTCTTTTTCCGATATTAATAATAGATGTGCCATTGTTCACAGCCATTTGTGACTGACTGACTGACAGCATCTTGCTATTAACTCTTTCCCCGCCAGCATTTTTTCTTTTTAAAGTTGCCATCCACCGATCATCTTCACAAAATGTTCACGGCCCCCCAGAATATTTTTGTACAGTATAAATATCTGAACATGCGACACATCAAAATAAAGAACAGACCGTCTGCTTTTAAACAAAAAGAAAATGTTTTATTCTAGCTTAATGCATTCTCTTTTTATCAACACTTGAATGTGGGTAAGTTTCATAAAAAAGCAACATTTTGAGCAAAAAGCTGTAGTCCGGTTCGGCACGTCTGGATGGGATTCAGAAAGATGATCTAAACATAGATGGAGTAGATTGAGTCCATCAACACCCCCAAAACTTCATACACTGTAAAAAACATTGGGATATTTGTTTAACCCAACCGTTGGGTTACACACATTGGGTCAATATGTTGAGTTAAATATTTAACTCAACTGTTGGGTTAGTTTAACCCAACTGGAGTTTACCCCAATGCATTGGGTTAAAATAACCCACAGTTGGGAAGGTGCTACTGTATACCACCCCATATTTGGGTTACTCCTTGGGTTTTTAACCCAACATTTTTAAGTGAGTACTAAAGCTCATTTGCATATTATTCATAGAACTGAGAAGGCTAAATGAGGCAAGGGTGTCGAGTTACATTTAAGCTATTTTAATTAAGGCATGAAGAAATTTTTTCAAGGAAAAAACTTTTAAATATGTCATTTTGGTGATCAAAGATGAGTTTTACGGGATAAAATGATTGACTACAGGGGGACTTTAAAAGCATCAAACTATCAGTTACAATCAATATACAGCATGTAAACTGACAATCATACTCGGCCCCAGACGTGCACAAATGCCCATATGTAATATAATCCGGTCTTGAGTCCTTCACATGTTATCTTGAACAATGAAGAGCAGCACAAAGCTCTCAGAAAGGTGGAGAAATGTAATGCATTTAATGCAGAAATGTTGTCTACAGAGCCACTGGCTGACTAGGCAGCTGACATCTGTTTTGGACGCCGCCAATGTGTGTAATTGAATTAATTGACTACTTAAATCAACCTAGTATTTAACAGATATGATCACTGAGACAGCTGGTCAACCATTAAAAACCATAAAGCAAATCCAAACAAATCATATGCTCCACAATGCATTTCTGAATTAATCAGCACAATTTTTGACACCAAGTAAGTCTATAATCAGAGTGGGAAATTAACACTCGCCACCAGCCAAATGTGGATATGTTTACAGTGGCAGGTAATTTAGCCTTATCTGTGATGGACAACATCATGCCTTTGACAATTACCATATAGCACTGATATTTTAAGCAACATCTGTCAGAAAAACAGTCAAACGTCATTGAAACTGAAAGCTGACCAGTTGCTTTGTCACTCCAAATCCAAATGTGCATTGAAATATGCTTTTTTCAAATGCAAAAGTGCACACTTGAATGGTTGCAACTGCAAAGCAGGAGAGTTGAACACATACCGTAGTATAGATACGATGGACACACTGCTATAGCTTACAAAAAATCAATTATATAAACAGCTTAAGAGGACTAAACGAGAGTGGTTTAATTTCGTAAACAGCAAGTCATTTTATGAATTGGGGGAAAAAGAAAAGAACGATGACTGGCAAAATATTCAGCCACTGGTGGGCGAAACAATTCATTTTCCACCCACCTATAACTATAATAGACTAAGCCAGGCAGTAACTCTTCAAAGAAAATCCCAGTGCATTTTCTTATTAATATCTGGATGGTGGAGAACAGAGGGATGTTTATAACCTTGCACTGCAAAAGGACCGAGGAGACTGTAAAGCGCTCTACCTCCACCTGTCGTTCTGCCAAAGACACTGGATTCATCCAACGCGACGCTACGAATCGAGAACGCGAGCGTTATGAAGTCGAGAAGTAAACAAATTAGTTCTATAATGGGGCGTTTCAATCACCTTAACGTTAGACCATTATAACGGTAGCTTTCCAGTTTTCATCGCGTCGCGTTGAAGCTCTCTGTCTATCTGATGTAAGTGAACACTATCCATCCACAGAAACCAACAATAAACATATTTTGTGAAATAAATCAGCCGCGTTGTAAATATATGCGATGAAGTGTCACCTCTGAACGCGCGTGCCAGCGTTCTTCGTACTTTACGAGCGTTATAAAACATTATAGCGCGCATTCCTATGAACGAATCCATCAAGTTGCATAGACAGAAATAAAACGGAGAAGCTGGACGAACAAACGTAAATCAATCAAATTATGAAGGAAAAGATAACTGCGCGTGACAAATTATTTAACGCTGGGACAAAATAACGATGTGAAAGTGTGAGGGGACACAATAACGCTGATTACCTCACAAAACTACAGGAGATAATTTTCTAAACATGTTCTATTAGTGTACAATGGTCGCTGTTAACATAATAAACTGGATATATTTCAGAAAATCTGAGCAAACGCTGCAGTGACGATCTCCTCAAAAGATGACCGTTAAACTGAACTGCAGAACCCGCGAATTTACCACACACGTCATGTGTCAATCATAAATCAACCGATCATAACGCGAAGGGATCAACGGTAAACGCGCATTTATTCTCCTCACAAACTCTCCACGTTGAAAAGGCAGCACAAATGTCTTCTTTCATCCAGTGTCCATCCACAAAACACCCAACATCACCAGATTTCGCCCTGAGTCTGGACCGATGATGCAGAGAGATGGAGGTGCCCAACTTGTGCCCGCTGTTTGACCGCCCATGCTGAAATGTTTAAATGTTGATATCTTTACCTTGACAGCCGCAGAGCAGCAATCCGAGCAGACAGGTGAATTTGAGGATCATTTTCAGCAGGTGAAAGTGACAGACAGCCGCTTGTGTCGCTAGTTGAAACCTCAGTGAGCCGAATGAAAGTAGCGAATCCAGCTCTCTCTCTCTCTCTCTCTCTCTCTCTCTCTCTCTCTCTCTCTCTCTCTCTCTCTCTCTCTCTCTCTCTCTCTCTCTCTCTGTGTGTGTGTGCACGTGTCCGTGTGTGTGTGTGTGTGTGGCTGGATCTGAAATGCGAATCTCACTGCAATCTGTCATGTCTATAGGCTACTTCACATTTTTATTCTAAAAAAAATACAGTTTTGTAAAAAGAAAAATGTATTACGATCTCTCTCGATCTCTGTGAATTTGAGGATTGTCTTATTTTCAGTGGTTCTCATTAGATAATATAATTCCCCCCAAAAAAAGCAATGCAACAAATAGGCTACTGCTGTTGTTTGGTTCACAAAGTTCTTCAAAATATCTTCTTTTACCAAATTATTTTGTTCTGCATAAGTCTGGAGGGTGATGAAATGGGGTAAATGCAGGGGTGGTAAAAGTACTCAAAAGTTATACTCGAGTAAAAGTATATATACCTAAATAAAAAATTACTCCAGTAAAAGTAGAAACTCCTCCATTCAAACATCACTTGAGTAAAAGTACAAAAGTATCCAATTTAAAACGTACTTAAGTACCGAAAGTAAAAAGTAAATATTCAAATTAACTGTAAATATCAATAATTAAGCAGATCAATTGTTTTGGGAGTGATATGCAATGTTTTATTTGAACAAATGATAAGATTAGATACTGCAATTAAGAATTTGTTAGCTAGGCACGTTTTAATATGAAATTACTTGGCTAACAATAGTAACATTAAAGCAACACTAAAGAACTTTTCCTCTGCGGTCCCCCTATAGGGTGGAAGCGGCATTGTCCGTTACCGCTGTCGTAAATAATAAATAATTTAGCGTACCGCAGCCTACTGCCGCACGCACACACGCTGTGTATGTGTTTATCCCATAGACAGTAAGGTTTATCCAGCACCGGCAACGATGTCCAATTGTAACGCTTGCTGTAAAGCAAGTCAAATTTGTAGTTTTCTTATGTCTCATTCGAACTACAGAAATGTGACCCGATCTGGCAAACTTGCATAGCGTGGTTATAGCAGATATAGGACCACAAAGCGAAGGCATGAGTGCCTTTTACCCTGTTACGACTTGATGAACCACTGAAACGATTTTGGAAACATTATTTTAAGGTAAAAATAAATCTTCTTTAGTGTTGCTTTAACGTCAACTCACCTCAATATGTTTTCTCAGATTTGAGGGTGAAGTTTTGAATGCTGAAATTTCATTCACCCGTGGCAGGCAAAGAATACATTTCAGCCGATAAGAATCTCCCTTGACTTCAGTGAATTCGAACATATCATTGATATATGGCCATGGGTGATCCCTGTCGGGAATCTCGGGATTATTGCTGGCAGTGAGAGCTGCACCTTCACCTGTTTCTGTGGTCATCTTCAACTTCGCAATAAAGAACTGACTGCTTTGTGAGCGTACTGTATGCTGGCAAAGAGCTCGTGCAATCTTTTTTTCAAAAGAAAACCAAGTTTTTCACGGGTTTGGAAAGCCAGTGTAATAAATACTTGGAGCAGGCATGGGGAAATGTATCGGAGTAAAAAGTAAACTTTGTCTTTAATATTGTAGTGGAGTAAGAGTGAAAGTAGATGCAAATAAAACCTACTCAAGTACAGTACAGATCCCCGAAAAAAATACTTAAGTAAAGTAACGAAGTATTTTTACTTCGTTACTCACCACCACTGGGTAAATGAGGTAAATGATGACAAAAAAAATCTGATTTATCCCTTTCAGGTCTGCGTTTAAAGGGATACTCCACTTTTTTTGGAAATAGGCTCATTTTACAACTCCCCCAGAGTTAAACTGTTGAGTTTTACCGTTTTTGAATCCATTCAGCCGATCTCCGGTTCTGGCGGTACCACTTTTAGCATAGCTTAGCATACATCATTGAAGTGGACAAGACCATTAGCATTTCTAAAAAAAAAAATGACCAAAGAGTTTCGATATTTTTCCTATTTAAAACTTGACTCTTCTGTAGTTACATCGTGCACTAAGACCGACGGAAAATATAAAGTTGCGATTTTCTAGGCTGATATGGCTAGGAACTATACTCTCATTCCTGCGTAATAATCAAGAAACTTCACTGCCGTACCATGAGTGCAGCAGGCGTAATGATATGACGCAGCGCCTGAAAATAGGCCACCTTCCGTCAACACAACGGAACTATTTTCAGGCGCTGCGTCATATCATTACGCCTGCTGCACTCATGGTACGGCAGTGAAGTTTCTTGATTACTACGCAGGAATGAGAGTATAGTTCCTAGCCATATCAGCCTAGAAAATCGCAACTTTACATTTTCCGTTGGTCTTAGTGCACGATGTAACTACAGAAGAGTTAAGTATTAAATAGGAAAAATATCGAAACTCTTTGGTCATTTTTTTTTTTTAGAAATGCTAATGGTCTTGTCCACTTCAATGATGTATGCTAAGCTATGCTAAAAGTGGTACCGCCAGAACCGGAGATCGGCTGAATGGATTCAAAAACGGTAAAACTCAACAGTTTAACTCTGGGGGAGTTGTAAAATGAGCCTATTTCCAAAAAAAGTGGAGTATCCCTTTAAAGTTCCCATGAAATGAAAATTGAATTTTTTGGCTTTTGATATGAATATGCCTTACTGTTATCGATAAACTAGTGTGCTCCAAAACTCCGCCAATATGGATCAATGATTGTGATGATGACATCACTCTGCACTTCAGCTTCTCATCAGATTTTCTGTCCAATCAAATGCTCTCTAGAATCCGAAGCTCCGCCCCCTGCATTATAGACAGACGCTGAAGCTGCGGCTGAAGTCGGTCACTTGTTCGCACATTTACTGTTTCCTACATGGTGAACAGCACATAGTGCACTATATAGGGGACAGGGAACGATTCAGACAGTGTAAATATGCTTTCCATCGGGGCGAATGAAGTCTGGGTTCAGCTCCGGTCCAGAGACACGACACACAGAGCGGATCATGTGACCGAGTCCCGCAGACCAGAAAACACATCGGACACATTTAAATTACTGCAGTCCTAAAATAGGTACTTGCAATGTTCTGCAGATTGTTTTCAAAAGTAACAGCTCTATTGTCATTAAAATAACGGCACAATGTGAAACGCTGCATAGATCACACAAAAAATTTTATTAATGAAGATTTCTTCTTAAATCATAGCCTACACCAGCGTCGTGAAAGGACAAATAATTAGCTAGTCACTGAAAACCTTCCTCTCAGATGAAGCTCTCAAATATCATTTAGCTAATATACAGCTTTCTGCTTCAACTTAGTCATCATGAAAGTGAAGTTGCGCTGATATTTTCTCCTCTATTGTGTCTTATATCCGAGTAAAGCAAATGTGGGCGGGGCTTGATTGTGTCTGTGTGGAATTGATTGGATGGTTGTGGTTCGCTATTGGTGGATCTAATGTGAGTGACAGGTTAAAGCCCCGCCCACATCATCAGAGAAGAGAAGAGATGCTGCAAGTTATTCAGACTGCTTCAACATTTCTCACATTATCACAGTTATTCGCTAAAATGGTAATAAAACATGAGCAGAACTCAGTTCTCAGATCAGTGGATATTTGACTGGTTTTGTCCGTCCTTCTGTTCGACTCTCACACATGAATTATGTTGAATATCTGTCAGCTGTTAAATTTAACTACACAATTAGATAATACCAGTTTAGCTCAACCAGTGACCAAGCAATGCTTCATGTTGTTCAGTGTGTGTGTAAAAAGAGCATTAGCAATTACAGAAAACACATTAATGAATCATTTTTGGTCCCAAATTTGTATAAATGTTACTGGTAGTCACTGTATGAAGAATTATTGGGTGTGTCACAGTTTACTTTATTTTGCTCTCCTCACTTACATAAATGAACTATAGTGTCCTGCACACACTAGTGAAAAAATATCAAAAATGATATCTGGTGTCTGAATCATTATTGGTTCGACACTGATTTAAAATAAAACTTGTATATGAAATTCTATATCTGAGGTAATACAAGAAATGGCTTCTCAGCCAATACAATCATGAAACAGGAAAAATGTACACACAAATATATCAAATCATTGTTTTGACCAATTGAAATGAATAATCAAGTGTATAAAATGGCAATACTTAAAATGTGTGACAACTTGCCCCACCTTGATGTTTATGTAAAAACACCTGTGTCCTTTAATTCAAAAGTCTAATTGCCTCGCTTCTTCCTCATTATTCCGCCCAAGTGACATGGTGTCTTTATTTAGTATGCTGTGAATGTGAGCGTAATTTGTTTGGTAAGGTGAGAGAGATGACAAATAATTACGCACAGTTCAGCTCTCTGTGGATGAAACTAGATATCAAAGAATGTTTTGGAGAAATAAATCAAAAAACGGCAAGGCTCAGTAGGTCGCATTCAAATGAGTAACAAATCATCTCCTCCCAGTCACAGCGGCTGAAATTAGTATTATTGCATATTAATAATGGTGTCTCGATCGGTATGATTATGTATATGGACATCACCCTGCGCTCTTGCTGGAATGCCTTTATCAAATATAATAACAGAATACTGTAGCAGAATGGAAATGGCTGTAATAACAGAAAAACACAAGCAATTACTGTATATTATTCTGCTGCGTTTCAATCGCACAGACTATTTCTGGTGTGTGAACACCTTTTTATTGTTCCTTTCTCATTATATTGAAGTTACTGATGTTTACTGACCTGTAATTCATGTATTTGTGAAGGTACAGCTGTGTTTCTTAATGTATATTGATATAAAGTATGACTTAAATGCTCACTTGTATAAACAATAAGCCAATATTAAAAGTCCCTATGATGTAAAATATAAGAATGTTTATTTAATGGATTGCTAACAAATTCATTCATATTTTCGTTATTTCTTGTTAAATTAATCCAAATCTTTTGTAAGCTTATATGATAGACTGTAACAACTGTATATATAATTGGCTATATATGAAAATGAGATACAGCGAGATCAGAAAAAGCTAAATGTTGAAAGCCTGAATT